CAAAACTAGATGAGCATCCATCTAAAATGTTTCAGAACAAAAGTTCCATGAATGATGTATAAAAAAATGTTTTTGTGCTAAAGTTTTGAGAAGTTTGAATGAACATTCTATCAGTGTTACTGGAAGAACATTTGTTCTTAACTTTGCTGGAACATTAGCTACATTTCTGAGCATGTTTCATGTTAGATTGGATGTTATTCCAAACCTGAGTTACTTTATTTGCTTCTGTGGAGCACCAAAAAAAACTAAAAAAAAAATAAATAAATATATATATATATATATATATATATATATATATTCTTTAGTGTTCCACAGAAGAAAGACAGACAAGTTTGGAACGACAAGAGGGTGAGTAAATGATGACAAAATTGATTTTCCCTTTAATTACTTGTACTCCCAGATTTGTGAGTTTATGCTAACTAAAATCATCTGTTTATCTCAATGAACTGCATTAATTCTATTGATTCTGTGATTTTTCTTGCCATCTGCCAGATCAACTCACCATGGAGCTATCCAAAGAAACAGTCTGGTACATTCATTGCTAAAATCCGGTCCGTGTGCGAGCGTGTTTTGGTTTGCCGAACCTCAGGGACCGGCTGGCTCCCCCAGGACTAAGCGCCCCTCATAGGGTGGGATAAAGAGGGTATCCTTTACAGAACAGGCCTTCATCCACTCCCCAACCCCCACGGAGCACAGGCTACATCAGTCGACACCACCAATCCTATTGTCTGCACCGGGATGTAATCAGGTATTAGTTGCCCAAACTGCAAGAGAAAGCTTAAAGACGGTAAGCTTAAGTGATCTCCATAGTTACCTTACAGCTCATAGCCTTGAGTATTATTAGATTAAAGATGGCAAACTGCTGGAGCAATAGGACGGAGAGAAAAGCTAAATCCTATAAAAACCCATACAGCTTTTAGCATTAAACAAGCTATACGTGGAAACTTTTTGTTGGTAGTCAAGGTAATCAGATTGGACATTTCAGACATCTACATCTGGCATCTCATCTGATGAACTCTGAAAGTCACCGTGAGGTTATGAGAGCTCCTCCGGCCCCTAATGCAATGCCGCATACCAGGATTTCCCTAAGATACACACAGCATCCAGGACTGTGTCAAATTAGAGGCGCGGGTAGAAAGACAAGCATATGTTAGGCAGGAGCAGATCGAGTATTTTAGGAGGAGCTTTAGTCTTTTCATCTAAGGAACGTGGCATGGTTTGTGTGTGTGTGCGAGTGGAGGCCTCTATAATATTCTCAAGAATGTCGGCATTACCTGGAGTGTGGGCCATATGTTTCTACTTCCTGTCTGAAAATATTCAAAACTTCCTGAGATGATCTCCAGCCTCAACCTGAGGAAATTTCACCCCTGGTGTCAAAATCCGTATCCCACCCATACAGAGGGTTTGTAATTACAAGAACAATATGCGGTGTGTGTGCGGTATATTCGGCCAGAACAGAGACAATGTTGTCATGAGATTTTGCGAGGGTTCGAGAGGAGGGCGGCTCGGGCTCCTCCAAAGGGAGGCGATGATCAAGGTGCAGACGCCAGACTGTCTTTAAGTACTCAGTGGCCTAATTATAGATTTAAACGTGGCTTAAGTTAAAAGAGAATATATCATTAATTTCAGACAGTGACAACCTCATGTCCTATTACTACATTTATTAATCATAGGGTATCAATTATTTATGTTTAAACAGAATCCAACTGAGTATATAATATCATTCAATATAATCTGCTGAAGAAATATTAAAGCCGGTTGATTAAACTGGTCAGATTAGATAAAAGAGATAAAGCATATTTTAGATTTAACATTTTATGCACCAAAACCCCCTTCTCTCCTCATTAAATTCTAGCAGGGAATGTAACTCTCTCGTGAACCACAAATACAGAAACCAATTAGCAAGTCTGTGATTTCTTTTCCTAGTTAATGATGCTATTAACTTTTGATACTCCTCTCGTTGTTTGCTGTATCACTCACTACCCTAAATAGTCCCAGTTGCTGCTCTAGTCCTCTTTTCTCAGTCTGGTGTAAGTTGCCGGGTGTTTGCAGGGCTGTTTTCTGTGCCATGTGGCTCTTAACTAATCACGGACAGACCAGTGTCCGTAAACACACAACACAGCAGTGCTAGACTGAGATGGGAACTTTCGTTCCTCACACATACACACATTTACCTTGCTCTTGCTATCTAAACCAGGACATACCACAGGCTTATAGTCAATGACAAATAAGTGATAAAGAAAAAGAAAAATATATATATTTTTAAATCTAACTTAATCCTTAATTGATTTAATTTTTATTTAATAATGATTTATGTATACATTTATTTTATGTAAAATATTATTTATTTATTTATTTATTATAATATTTATTTATGTATGTTATTTTTATTATTTACAAATATAATGAAATTCATAAATACCTTTTTGGGAAGTTGCATTATAGATGACATTCAAAAATGTTGAGTTTTTTCTTCATTATGATATCAGAACACTATCACCCAGACATTTTTGACTTTATTCCCCAGAAAATATCAAAATGTTAATTTAGAATTTTAATTCAGATATTAAAAGCAGGTTTCATCCTAGAAAATAGAGAACATTCTCAGAATATTGACTAACATTCTGGCAAGGTTCTCCAAAAGTTATGAATGTTCTTCTAGTAACATTAATAGAATGTTCTTTAAAAAGAAAAAAAAAAAGGGGAAGTCGTTAGAGTGGTTAGTGAGTCGGACTCATAACCCAAAAGCTGTGGGTTCGAGTCTCGTACCGGCAGGGATTGTAGGTGGGGGGAGTGAATGTACAGCGCTCTCTCCCACCTTCAATACCACGACTGAGGTGCCCTTGAGCAAGGCACCGAACCCCCAACTGCTCCCCGGGCGCCGCAGCATAAATGGCTGCCCACTGCTCCGGGTGTGTGTTCACGGTGTGTGTGTGTTCACTGCTGTGTGTGTGCACTTTGGATGGGTAAATGCAGAGCACTAATTCCGAGTGTGGGTCACCATACTTGTCCACATGTCACTTCACTTTTTTCACTTTTTTTTAGAATTTCCATTCAAAGTTCTCTGGATTTTCATAATGCTTTCAAAATGTTAGCTCAAAAACTTTATTTATACATCATTCATAGAACTTCTTTTCCTGAAGCATTTTAGTTTGGATGTTCATCTAACAATTTAAAAAAATATATTATTACTTGTTTCATAATTTAAACATTTAAAACTAACATTCCCAAGGTGTTTGCACAATAATACTATGGAATGTTACCTTAACATTTTGCATAATCAAGAAAAAAAAATTGCAAATCATATTTTAAAGAAATTGATGTTTTGAAAGTTCAGAGAACATTCAGAAATAATTGTTTTTTGAACTTATTTGAAACGCTAACATTAAATTTTTTTGTTAGCTGGGAAAGCCATATGAATTGTCATATGTCATGAACAAGCTATATGTCATATGAACTGTCATTCAGGTCATATGAATTGCAATTTAATGTATTTTATATTGTTAAATTAATAGATCTGTGGGGGAAACAAGAACATTTCAACTGAGGCCTTCTCCAGATGTCACTTAAACAAACTTTTTCTGATTTAACGCACTTTTGTAAATACACTATGTAAATAGACACACACACACACACACACAGAATCAGATTAACTCTTGGAAGGCAGTGTAATGAAGCTTAATTAAGGAGGCCTGTGTTAGCTGTTGTTTTAGCAAATATTTGGCCAATGGCAACACCTCTGTGATGCAAACAGATAACCAGAGTTTTGTTTTCTCACCCAACTGGCATGGGTCACCTAAAAAAAAGCCAATGAAACAATAACAAATAGATAGAGTCCACTGTCCAAGAAAGTCATACATTTAATACTGAATGAGAGAGTTATGAAATGAAGCAGAGAAATAAAGCAAAAAGTGCAAATGTTAGAGGAAAGAGCTGCTCTTTTACTCTCCAAATCCAGAAAACCAAAGATGTGTAGGGCTGTTTCAGCTTTGGCTCATAGTGATACTGTTCTCTTGAATAATGACAGCTCTATTTGTATTCATTCACTCTTTCCTTACATGCATATATAAAAATCTGGATAATTACTTAAGTCATGACAGATTGTCTCAGCGTAGGTCACTTTAAGGGGCACCGCTCTCCCTCTCTCCTTTCTCTGCCCAGCCCTGCTCTGAGTGCCTAGTAGGACAGTCTCCCTCCAGTGTTAATGATTTCCGCCCGGTTGGCTGGCAGCGTTTCTGCCAGCACAGGTTGGAGTGAGGCAGCAGTGTGGGTGACACTGCCATCTGTCCCAGTAAAGTGCCCTGTGTGGTGCCCAGCTGGTGTGGAACTGCTAACGAAGGAGGGAGTCTCATCTCGCTCTTTCTCTCAGCCTTTTTCTATTCCTCACTCGATCTAATTTAGGAAACTTTAGACCAAGTCAAGTGAGTGAGACCTCTGTCTAATTCTAACCTAAGATATTTATGGACACTTAAAAACATGATGTTCAAAGTAGTCCATGTGCATTTTATTCCAAGTCATCTTAAACCAAACAATTGCTTTGTGTTAGGAAAAGACTGAAATTGAATTATTTTAAGACTGAATTTATTTATTTACAACAACAACAATAACAATATTCTTTAAATAGCAGTAATATTTGTATCTGTATATTTATTTAAAAATATATACATATAATTACATTTTGGTTCACTCTTCACACAATATATATATATATATATATATATATATATATACACTCTAAAAAATGCTGGGTTGTTTCAGTTGTTTCAATTTTTAAATGACAGTGTGTGTGTGTGTGTGTAATGTAAAATGTAAAAATATAATGTATGTGTTGTTTTTATATTATTATATATTCTTTTTATATTTTCATATTTTAGATTATATTTAATATAGACAATTTTTGTTGAACCTGCATCAATATCCCATCTTCATATGTCTCAAGTCTGACCAATCATTTATTTGATTTCGACAGGCCATTTCCATTCCTGCTTTGTTTTTATTCTTTTCCCAACGTCTCACCACTCTCTCTCTCTCTCTCTCTGGCACCTCGTAAAACAGCTCTATCTAATTGCTGCCGTTGGCTTTTTGGCAGTGTGTAGAGAGTCTGTCTCTGAGGAATAGAATGAGGCTGTGTTTAAACTTTGCAAACACACACACATTTGTGTCAGTGAGCGCAGGGTCTACCGCATTTACTGCCCTCAGGGCTTCTAGAGGGAAGAGCTCAGCAGGTCTGTCTGAAGTTCAGCGCATTATCACCTCCTCTTCTCTCCCACCGGTAAAACAGCACCTCCTAATCCACTTCATCCACTCATGATCTAGTGCTGCAGTATGTGAGGGCATGGCCAATATTGGCCAATGTTATCCCATGTATATCCCATGTTCCTTTTTAGGAACTGATTTTTTTTTTTGTAATTTCCTATTACTATTACTAAACCTCTCATTTCAAATATTAAACTTTGGCAGGAATTTTAATTTATTTATTTTTATTTTATTATTTATTTTTTCTTGCAGCTTGCTGTACATATTTGTGTTATTGCGTTTCTAATCAATTTGTCTTATGATTTGAAAAAATCCTATAGACTTACATCAAAAAGTCTATGGGACATAAATATCTAGACAAGAATGTTGTAGGTGATCTCCAACCATCTGGAAACCATTTAGAACACCCAAGCAACCACTCAGAACACCCTAACAACTCCCTAGCAACCATCAAAACACCGTAACAACTACCCAGAACAACCTAACAACCTC